GCATGCTCATAGGGAAAAAGCATTCTGTGTTTTAACATTAAAAATTATATTCAGTGTAGGTTTTTCATAGATGATCTTTTCCAGGTTTACTGGAATTTTTTTTTTTTAAATCATGAATCATTGCTGAATCTTTTTCACATACTTTTTTTGCATCTACTTAGCTCATGTGGTTTTTGTCCTTTATTTTATTGATGTGTAGTATGTTATACTAATTGATTTTTGAGTATTAAGCCAACTTTTCTTTCCTGGGACAAATCCCAGTGATACATAGTTGTTTTGTTTTTTTCTTTTTTTTTTCTTTTTTTTTTTTTTAATGTTCCTGGATTTAGTTTGCTGGTATTTAGTTGAGAATTTTTGTGACATTCATTAAATGCTACTCTGGTAGTTCTTCAAGCCTTTTTGACAGATCACTGTGTATGATTTCTTAGAGCACCTGTGTTTCTTTAGGTGATATACTTCCTTTAGACTTTTGCTTTAGGCAGTTTTAACCAAATGTTGACATTTGTAAAGAGGGCCTTAGAATGATTTCATTAAAATATTTGTAATGATGGAAGACCTATTTTTTAACCAGCCATTTACTTGAAAATAATATGTTCCTTTCTGTTTGCTAGATATTCTATGAAACATGATCTTTAATCTTCTAAATCTGAAAGTTGTTAACATAAAATGCAACAAGCAGACCCAGTTTCCAAACATGATATAGTAAAAGGAGGAAGAAACTTACCTCATTTACTAGTGGGTGAACTTTAATTTATAGTTCTTTGGAATAGAAGCTTTCCTACTTTCACTTGTCTTTCACACTAGTATAAACATACCTATTCCTGTAGTGCCTAGAAGAAAAAGAGCATGCAAAATCAAATGTCTCTTAATAGTCTTAATTTTACTTAAAAATTTACAATTTTTAAAGCACTGCACTGGGTTAAAGCACTGCACTGAGAATCTAAAGCCACTTCTGCATGAGTTCGATTCCCGCCTGCCCCGGAGGTGACCACATGGCGTGGCAGACCTCTCCTGACCCGCCCGCTGCTCCCCTCAGCAATGTACTTCGTCGATCTGCCTGTTCTGCTCCCCACTCTGTCTCTGGTGAAGCCTCTCACTGCCCCCGCACCTCTGGCCTGTACCCCAGCTTTGTATGCACAAATAAATCTTTAAATAAAAAAAATTACAATAGATGGGTTTGAGGAAACTCATATTAAAACAAAAATGATTGTTTTATGGAAAAACATACAAAATGTATGGGGATGTGTAAAATATAAGGCTTGAAAATATTCGATTCTTTCTCCACAATTTTTAGTCTGACCATCCATGTTTGAGAATTCGAATTCTCTTGTTACAAAGATTATATTCAGTGGAAGTTTTTAGGAAATGTTCTGAGGCATTAAATAAATGCTGACATTGGTAATTTTTTATGTTCAAAACAAGTTATTGTCCTCCTTTTAGCAAGCCAACACTGGAAAGATCCTCTTATGCAACATTTTAATCTTTTTTGTCAAATATTTCCTCTATTTAGATTCTCATTCTGTTAATTTGTTATATTCTAAATGAGACAGAATTAGGTGTTTTTATGTTGCTTTGTGGACTGAGAATGCTTTAATGAAAAATGTAGATCATGATATCAGATCTTTTCTCATACATATGCCTTATGGGAAATATTATTGAATGTAAATTAAACAAGAGGATAGATTTTAGAGAGAATATCAAATCTTGATGTGGTTTTATTGGAGGTCCTCTGCATTTAACGGCTGTATTAATATACTTGCTCATATTATCTATGCTAATAGTCCACAAAGAAGCCATGCATGTCTTCAGATCTGCCTATAGAAGAAGTGTTGCCCTTTGTGCTTAACACAGCTTGTTAATTTTATAGCCTTCTAGAGTATAATAATGGCTAAAGGGTAGTCTAATCATGGCGGCATAACAGAAAGGATTTTTTTTAACCCTATTTAAATAATGTAGCAACAGATTTTTCAGACATACTCCACAAACTAGATTTAGAAGAGTGATTTTTTTTCTGTATAGAACAATTTAAGTTTGGGGGACATATCATGGTAGATTCTGATTTGCTTTTAATTATCCCTGGGGTTTTTATGAACCTTCAATTCCAACAGAGGTAGTTATTGAGGTATAGCTGTATGTTCTAACCTTGGCAGGCTCTGGAGATAGTTTGTATTTAATTTATAACTAGGGTAAATTTAGCGGCCTACTTTTTTACCATTTTTATGATCACCCTGAAGCATTATTTGTTATTTTTACCATTTTTATGATCACCCTGAAGCATTATTTGTTAAAGAAGCAATTCTTTGGGTTATTCCTTATGTATGTGTGTGTGTGTGTGTGTGTGTGTGCACGCACACATGAGGGTGTATGTGTGTGTATGATTTTTATGAATGTGATTGGAACTACAGAGAGCTTGGGTTCCTTTTGGATACCCAAAAGCTTCTTACTTATTTACAAATACTCCCCATATTTATAAAGGATATATATGTATAACATAGTGTCATTATATTTACAGTATAGTGAAAATTTTAGAACTAGAGCTAAAGAGTTTTAAAATTTGTCTAGCCTACCTTTTCTTTATAAGTAAGAGAGATGATGACTAGACAAATAAGCAGAGTTTGTCAAAGCTCCCAAGTATACACAGTTAGATTTACACATTGGGAATTTATTTGGTTAGGAACAGTTTTTGGTAAAGATATTTCAGAAACTGGTTGATAGAACAAAGAAGAGCAGTTTAAATGGTATAAACAATTAATAGTTCAAGTGTTTGATAATTTTCAAAAACTCAAAGATTGTGGGGAATTACCATGAAAGATATTAGTGTATGTTTGCTTGAAAGTAATGACAAGAAAAAGGGAAGACTTTGCAGAGGTGACAAGCAAGGCTAGCTATAACCTGATGCCAAGTCTGAATCCTCTTCATATGTATATATTTGTTCTTTGTTTAGTTGTTGGGATTCCTTGTGATTGTGTCACATTTTATGAGATTAATCTCTTAAAAAGAAGGGCCTAATGCCCACTTAGGGTCTAGATTTATCACAAATGTAAAAATAGGAGCTGTTATTATGAGCATATGAGCAAGAAGAACACTACTGTGTGTTATACTCTTTGACTGAAATTATTTTAATTTGCAGTTGACTTTTGGATGTTAGCGATTCTAATTTTCATTCTGTTATCGCATTGATTTTAATATGTCTACTAAAAGACTAGCAACAAAGAAAAGACTATTGATGTTAATGTTACCCAGAAATATCTCTGGGAAGAAGTAAATTTAAGAGCTCAAGACAAATGATTTGCTTTTACTATGGATTTCACTTACATACATTATCTCTCTGTGACCTTGTAAGATAAATATATTATGCTCTCATTAGACAAATAAGCATGAGTAATAGAGAAATGCAGGGCTAACTTTTCTGTACATGCAGTAATGTTACAGGGCAGGGAGAGAGGGGTACCACTGAACCCCCAAACCTACCTGCTCTAAGTAGGTTCTGCCATGTGCCGCATCAAGACAAAGCATATAAAACTTTAATTAAAAGGAACTTTAATATAGTGTGTATACAACACAAAAGACAAATAATTTCTAAATCAAATATCTGAAGTTTCCCATCCCCTTGTGGGCAAAGTCAACCCAAAAGGGATTGGCCCAAAGCTAGGCCTGAAAGCTGCCACAAGACTAAAGCACCTTCTGGCTGGGACCCATAGAAAAGGGTCAGAAATGGCCAGAGAAGTATGGGAGGAAAAGAGCAAAATCAAAATCAATATAACTATAATCAACCTCCCCACGCGTCTCTCATCCACATCTGTTTTCAACCAATCCAGGGCCAAGAAACAAGCATGGTTTCTTCTTCACATGCTTGCTGCTCTATATGGCTTCCTCAGGTTTCCTTCTGACTCTCTCTTCATCCTGCTTCCTTCTTCCCCCTCAGATTCCTTCTCTTCTCTGTTCTGCTCCACCCTCCTTCTGGGTGGGGCAGGGAACCTGGAACTTACCCTTTTCCTGGGGACCACCCTGTTACAATAAGAATATAAGGGTTCTCATTTTAAAATAAGTTTTAATGTTTAATTTGGGCTTTTTTAAAAGCTTTTAGGCTCCTGCCAAAATCACCCCTTTTTGATATGATCGATTTGGGATACTTTGTATAGTTAAACATTAAAGATACAAATATTTTTGGTCATTGTTAACTTTATAATGTTTTTGGACTAGGAGTAAATGTTTCACAAACATTATATTATGTTAATGTCATCTTTCTGTTCCAGTTCAGTTACTTATCTGCTCCTAAGTAGAATAGGATATCAGTATCAGGAAAAAAGAGGATAAAACTTCCCACCTACCATACATAATGAAATATTTGTGAGAGATAACGTTATTTATTATACCTACAGAATTTAAAAGTCTGAAAATGGGGCCCTCCTTGGTGGTGCAGCGGGTTAAAGAACAGCACTAAGAAGCTCAAGCCACTTCAGCTGAATCAGTTCAATCCCCACATGGTGTGGCAGACCTTTCCTGACCTGTCCGCTGCTCCGCTCAGCAGTGTACTTTGTCAGTCGGCCTGTTCTGCTCCCCTCTCTGTCACTGGTGAATCCTCTCACGACCCCTGCACCTCTAGCCTGAACCCCAGTTTATATGCATAAATAAGTAAATCTCTTTTTTTTAAAGTATGAAAATGATGTAAATTAATCAATTGTGTGATAATGAAAAAAATGACACCTCATATAAAATTCTGATTTTTAATTTTTCTGTCCTGGATTACAATGGTGACTTGTATAGGACTTTGTAAAGATACTTCTGGTGATTGGAAGTATTCCTAATGTAGAAGGTACATACATATTTTATTACAAAGGTGTGACATTTGTCTTATAAAAGGTTAATTTAACGTTGAAATTCAGGGTATCACTGAATTTCAGCATACCTCTGGATAAATCTTAGTTTTGGTAAACTTACTGTGGGCACATATTTTATTCTCATAGGCATTTTCTTTTTCATTTTTGTGCTTCTTCCAGAGTAAGTGAGGAAAAGGAAGTGACAGAAGAAAGACTCAAAGCTGAGCAGGAATCATTTGAGAAGAAGATCAGGCAGTTGGAAGAACAGAATGAACTGATCATCAAAGAAAGGGAAGATATCCTTTTTGAAAATCTTCTTACTGGTCAGAAAGCTTGACTTTTTCATTAAGCAAATGTAAACTCCAGAAATAATCATTCTAATTTATAGTGGGGCTCCATCTGCCTGGACTGCCACTTGTAGGCAGTCAGCACACTTTGCGCATGTGCTGCTGCTCCCTGGGCGTCAGACGGCCACACAGCTGCTCTGGTGCTGTTGTGGAGCACTATTTGTCAACTAAAAGAGACAAAGAAACTTGGGCATTAAAATGTAGTGTTGAAACTATTAAACTCAGTTCCACTACTAGAATTGAGGCTCCAACCTCTTTGGTATTTCTAAAGTTTTGACAATTACAAAAAGAAAAAAAAAATAGGGATTTGTACCTGTTGTAATTGATAAGTGTTCACTGCAGCTTAAAACCACTAAGCTGTTTTCATGGAGAATACTACTGAGCTTAGAATTAGGGTGTGTGTGTGTGTGTGTATGCGTATGCATGCATGTGCATTTAAGAGAGAGAAAGAAACAGAGATTTCTATAAGGGATAGGAAGTTAAAATTAGCTTATTTCTCACATTTCTTTTAAATGTGTAGAAGTACTTACCTTGGGTGCTTTTTTTGCAGTGGTATAGAAGTGACTGGGAGGGTGATGTTTCTGCCAGCTAACCTAGCATGTGAATGCCTTAAAGGAATTGTCTGTCTTGCCCCTAGCAGCATTAACTTGATTGTTAAATAATATCAAATATTGTTCAAGTATCAAAAAAAACTACATTTTCAGTAGTGAATACCATGGAAGTAGGAGCATAAAGATAAGTTTGCTCAAAAGAAAACACAATAATATAACTATAAAAAACAATTTCTATATTTCTGTTTTTGAAACAGTGAAAGTACTTTATTGGAAATTAATATAATTAGAATGCCTCGACTTGATTTGCTGAATAGAACATTCATAAGATCCATGGCCCCACCATTCTAAAGAAGTGATTTTTCAATTTGTTTTTCTGTATCTTTTTAGCATTTGAATAGCCTTGGGAATTTCCTTTTCATTACCCTGTTTGCCTTTATTGCCCTAGGTGGTTTACTTTCAGGTTAGACCCTCTTTTGTGTTTCTTTTTCCCCTACTACTTTTCTCTCTGTATTGAAGTAGTGCTATTTAGTCCAAATTTGCAACAAACTTGTTCCTCCAGTTTTCATTTTTACTTCTCACAAGAATTAGTGAGTTGGGATTCTAGCACTTACAAAAAAAGGCTAGGCTTGGAATGCTTTTATTGGTCACAGATTCACTTTAGAAGATCTGCTTTTCTCACATACCAAGAGCTCTGGGAATAAGTGACATCTGGCAGTGGTTCAGTAGCTTAAGGTTTTTGGTGCTTACATCTTTACAATTTGCTTAACTTTTGTTAGTGGTTAGAGAAATGTAGGGTGCAAAATGGTTGTTCCAGTCCTAGTAATCACATTTGACAAAGACAGGAAGAAAGGGGAAGAAGAGTTCCTGCCAGTAGCTCACTCTTCTTTTTAAAAAGAAACAAAATGTGAGCCTGCCCTGGTAGTGCAACAGGTTAAAGCACATCACTACAAAGCTAGCTGCAGCCCCTTGACAAGTTCCATCCCCAGCCAGGGAAGTGACCCACATGGTGCAGCAGACTTCTCTTTGGTTGCCCACTGCTCCCCTTAGCATTATACTTCATCAGTCTGCCTGTTCTGTTCCCCACTCTGTCTCTGGTGAATCCTCTCACTGTCCCTGCACCTCTGGCCTGTAACCCAGTTCTGTATCCATAAATAAATAAGTCTTTAAAAAAAAAGACACAAAATCTTTCTCAAGGCATCCCTAGCCCCAGCAGATTTCATAAGATGTTCATTGTCAAAACTTTATTGCATAGCCATTCTAAGCTGCCAGAAAGCCTGGTAAAGCAAGCTTTCACTGTGTATGCTAGCAGAAGTAGGGGAACTAGAAATTGTTTTTTAGTGTTGGTAGGAAGTGGTCATATCTTGATCTGCCTGGGACAAAAAAAAAAATAAGTATGGTAAGTTCTCATTTAACATCATCCACAGGTTCTTGGAATTGTGACTTTACCTGAAAGAGGCATAACAAAAGCAAGTGCTAGAAAAGTGGTTTTGTTCACCATGGGCTAGGATTCTTTTTCCTTATTAATGTTATAGAGAAATAGGGGCACATCATTGAGCAAGAAAATGACATTATTTGAAGACCTGCTTGTATTATGTCTAGGGGAATTGAGATGAGTTGGGGAAATAGATGAGAGAGGGAGGTAAATTTAAAAGCCTGGCCACAGTTAAAGTGGAGCTTATTTTCTGGTGTGGTCTGTTTTAACGAAAATGACGACTATCTGGAAAAGCGGTGAACTATTTATTTAGCATTCTTTGGGTCCAGATGAATTGTACATATTATTGAATTGAATATAGTGTTGCCTAAATTCAGCATGACTATGAGAGGTTTCTTCTGTTAGGCAAGCTATTAGGGTACCCCAGGTGGTTGTAGTGATAACATTTTCCCTGTTTTCCACATGATTTAGTTCAAGGTTGGCAAATTAGTGTCATGGACCAAATTCAGTAGGATGCCTGCTAACTCCAGCCACACTCTTTAATTTATGTGTATGGCTTCTTTTCTACCGTAGCTCCTAGTTGAATGGTTGCAACAAAGATAGTTTAGCCTGGGCAGTCGAAGAAATTTACTATCTCTACAGAAGAGGTTTACTAACCCTTCACTATCTAAAAAGTCAAAAAAGAAAAGGAAATAATGTCAGACATGTAGCATAATAGTCCTTTTTATTGTTGTGTGAAAAGATTTGACTGGAGCATTTATTATTGGTGTGAATGAAGATTGAGGTAAATGTTAGACCTTTATCAGTTAACTAAAGTGGTTTAATCAATAAATTGGTTTAGTATTTTTGAATCACCAAAAGAACAATGGTACTTATGGAACTTGTCAAAGGGAGAAAGTGACCTGTGATTTTTTTTTATTCAAAGTAGATTGAATGGGTACAAACTTCCTTTACCTGCATAAACCTGTCAAACTTTAATATGGATAATTTTACAACATACAAAGCCCAATAATCAGAAGCATAAGATTATAATTTAAAACAAAAGATTTTAATCACAGATACATATACCTACCACATATGAATGATTGGATAATTCAGTTCATTTTAAAGTCTGTTTCTATATGAAGAAATGTATAAATTCTGATTTTTAGCATTTTAAAGATGTGTCATTAAATTTATGAAGGATTTGTTTTTAAAATTCTAATAACTTGGCCCTCCCTGGTGGCGCAGCGGGTTAAAGCACTGCACTAAGAAGCTGAGACCACTTCTGCATGAGTTCGATTCCCGCCTGCCCCGGAGGTGACCACATGGCGTGGCAGACCTCTCCTGACCCTCCCGTGCTCCCCTCAGCAGTGTACTTTGTTGATCTGCCTGTTCTGCTCCCCGCCCTGTCTGCGGTGAAGTCTTTCGCCACTCCTGAGTCTCTGGCCCCAGTTTTATATGCACAAATAAATAAATCTTTAAAAAAAAAATTCTAATAACTTACTGATCAATTTTCTTACAGCCCCTTTATAAAAAAGAGAAAAACTGTTGTACATGTTTGCCTTTAGATCAGGGTTTTGAACAATTTGTTCTCATATAAACAGAATTTATTACCAAATTAAAATTTTTGATAATTTTCAATCTTTGAATAATATTCTGAGATCTTATCTATGTTAATGAACATGCCTTTTACAAAGTCAAGCAGCCTGGTGAACTTAGTGTATTTATTTTTAAGACTTATTTATTTATGCATACAGAACCAGGCTACAGGCCAGAGGTACAGGGGTGGTGAGAGGATTCACCAGAATCCCCACAGAATGGGGAGCAGAACAGGCAAATGGACTGACACACACTGCTGAGGGTAACAGTGGACGGGTCAGGAGATGTCTGCTGGGCCATGTGGGTCACCTCTTGCAGTGGTGCATCTTAATCCATTGTGTCACCAGAGAGGGTATTTTTGATTAGTTAAATGAGTATGAAAGGAGAGAGAAATCTGAAACTTAGAGTAAAATGTGTCCAATAGAAATATTTCATAGTCATGTTAGCATGTCATAGTCTAAGACTCAGAAGTTAATTTTATGTGAACTAATTGTATTTCCAGAACATATGCCTCAGATCATAGTGGCATCAGATCTGCAGAAGGAAAGTAAAGCCTAATGTTTGCTGACTTCACTATTTTAGCTGGTATGCAAGGGAAGTGACAGTGAGGAGAACACAATGAACTAAAGTCAAATCCTGTTTCAGCACCAGCGCGCTGTCTGACCTTGGGATAGCTACTCCACTTCTCTGAGTCTCCTTTTTCATCTATAATATATGAAAAGCTAATAATGCCTTCTTTGCAGACCTGTTGAAATTTGATAGATGCTATATGTGTGTAAAGAGCCTTGCAGTTTTGCATACTTAGAAGGCACTGATAAAGGATAGCAAGTCTTGTTATCACTACTACTTATAAGGAAGAGGGATGAAATGAGTAGCCCCTGATGCTCATTTCTCTCATTTCTATGCCTTCACTGAAGTTTTGGTGGTTTGTTTCTTTTTTTTTTTTTTT